TGACATCTGAAGGGTGGATTTCAGTACAGTATGTGCACAGAGCTGTTTATAGTAGCTTTGCTTGTGTTGGTCACAGAGTTCGTTCAGAAGTGGCCAGATAAATATTTCTGATATTCTAGTGTGTGACCGGACATGTACACTCAAAAGCTGTACTCGTCTTGGAGTTGTTTTTGCTGTTGTGAGTATATAGAAAGTTTACAGTACTAGATGTGGATCCTGCACTTCAGGAAATCCTTGAATTCTAAATGAGCCGATCACATAAATGTATAACGTCCTTCTCTAACAAAGCTTTCAGGCCTTTGGATCCTTTTTTGGGCTGAAGCAGGCCACCACAGGAGCTGGCCTACAGCCCAGACTGCACTGTAAGGCCAACAGGGGAGTGAAACTGTGTGCGTGTGTGAGCGAACGCCTTTGTTCCTTTCCTTAAATGATCGAGAAACAAGTGTGGAAAAGAGTGTTTTCAATCAGCTGTCATGATAGCATTTTCCACTCTCGAGTGTCGAGGGTCGCACTGTTAACAAGAGATGACGTGGTGCTGTATCGACAGCAGCGAGGCCTCTTTTCCTGCAGACGTGCAGAGGCTACAGACAAAGCACGAGGACACATGTAGACAATTTCATACCTCATAAACTCTGGAGTGGAGGAATATATGAGACAGGGATGATATCAGCCTGCATTCTGGCACCTGCGTTGCCGTCAAGCTAGGGCAGCAGCAGACAATGATAAACAGCCTCTTCGGTGTGAAACTCGGGGCTAACTACGACACCGTAAACACAAAATACTTCACGCTGGCTGCAGAATCAATTCCTTCCAATAGATTCTGTTTTTAAATACAAGGGTCAAATATTCTCATTTTCAGCAGCCTTCAACAGCCATTTTAAATCCATAAATCCAGTCTAATGACTGTAACAGTAGGCGTCAGACCTTAACTCAATCTCCAGAAGGGTAACTAGGCCGAGTCTCAGAATTCTCAGTGGAATATTGGACTTGTTTACTAAAAAGTAGGAATATGCACTAATCAGCCACAACATTGCAGTGTGGCTGGGCATGTCCCAGCTATGGAAAATTAAATAAATAGTTAGCTCAGACATGACACGGAGGACTCCTGGATCCAATCTGCAAATGTCATATAAAGCACACCATTCAACCTGACTGAGTCTACCTACAGTTGCTGCAAAGGTGCAAGCTGTCGCGCAACTCTCCTCCACCCCAGCGCCCTCTCTCTAGCCTACGTCAGGTTTAATCAGTGTCATATCTGTTATCACAGATGCCTGCGCTATTCTCTACAGGTGGTTTTGCTGCTGCCCTTCCCACCATGCGAGTATGTTGTGGATCACCAGGGAATATTTTCCTGCCCTTCTATTGTCTAATTTCCATAAAACCGTATAAACTGTAGCCTCAGTTTCCTGTTCTTAGCTGACAAGATTGCCACCTGATGTGGTCTTCTGCTGCTGTAGCCCATGTGCCTCAAGGTTTGACTTGTTGTATGTTTAGAGAGGCTCTTCTGCATACTTTGGTTTTTACGAGTGGCTATTTTAGTTAATTTTCTATCAGCCCAAAACAGCCTGGCCATTCTCCCCTGACAAATCATTTTCGCCCAGCCAGCTGCTGCTCATTAGATAACTTCTATTGCTCTGACCATTCTCTGTAAACCCTAAAGATCTCTATATGGGAAAAATACAGAGGATAATCCTTCTCTGACGATAGTGGTTCACACTGAACCTTGCAGGACTGAATCCAGCACCACTGCACTGACTGGGACTTGGAAGATTCAAGGCTTGATCTAAGCAGTCTCCACCCCACAGCCCACAGGACCCAAAGACTCAGCTGCCAAATCCCTGGTGACAGACACCGCAGAACATCACAGACCTGTGTCTACAGGTCAGTGCTCACAAGCGGGACCAACACAATATCTGGCAGGTGGTTTTAATGTTGTGGTGGCTCGGTTTAAGTGTTTATGTGACTCTTTGTGGGAATATAAGATTACATTTCTGATAAGAGCAGATTGATGAAGTGCAGGTGTCTGAGATTGGACTATGGGAGAAGCGTCAGTGAAAATAAGGAGGGAGAGAAATAGACATAAACAGCACATGAGAAACCACAGACTGTGTGTGTGTGTGTGTGTGTGTGTACAGTTATAGTTTTTCAACTCAAACAGAGACAGATAGAAACACACCTCCTGACTCCTGGAAGCGATTTACACCTCTAATTGTGTGTGTGTGTGTGTGTTTATTTACTCTGTCCGCCATGGTCAAACTCCTCAGACAGCAGGTGATAGCAGCAGCCCACACTGCAGACTGCGGCTAGCTCCGGTTTAGCCACAAACATCCTCAGCGTGCTGGGAGCCAAGTCGCCACAAGTGTGCAGGCCAACCATGACTGCATCCTGGGTTTTGGACAAATCACACAGAGATGGGAGAGAACAGAAAAGGAGGTGGAAGCAAGTAGGGGGAGTAGTAGAGATCGATGGTAAAATTTATTGGTGATGACGCGCTGCAGATTTGGCACCGCAGTCACACCCCAGACTCACTCCAGTAATGCAAACTCCAGCTGCTGTGACACACTTGTAATTCTAGGAGTTGCTATGAGAATCAAGCTATGCTACTATGCTCTACAGCTGGCTGAATATATATGAAGCTTTTTTTTTTTTACATATATTATTAAACATTTACTTTTGGCTTTGGGTTTGCTCACCTCCAGCTCATTGATGAGGTCTCGGAGCTCTGTTTCTGCAGTAACGTAAGATGTAAGAGGTGAAAACACGGCTCCAGTGCTGTCTGCCCTGCTCTGAGCTTTCCTCTCCAGGTTCTCTCTCTTCCTCCTCTCTCTCTCCTCAGCACTGAGTTGACTTGGGGGAACTCTGGGGGAAGCAGGCTGTATTACATCCACGGATAAAGCACTCAGGAAGAGCTCGTCTGTTTCTGGGATTTGCTCTGAACGTCCTTCCACTGTGGGGTTGATGTCTGATGAGCTTGTTAACACCCTCTCCTCCTCTTGTGACCGAATTCTTGGCCCATTACCAGAGAAAACATCTTCGTCTCCATTCAGCCCAGTTTTTTTTTCTATTAACTCCTCCTGAGGCGAATGTGTGGCCTCTGCTTGCGTCCTTGCTGCTTTGGTGTGTTTCTGGTATGCTTTCGAGAACTTCTTTAGCTTCCTGTTCCTCTCCTGAGCACCGTGGGTGTTGGTGCTAGAGGAGTCAATGCCATACACCCGAAGGGCATACTGAAGAGAGAGGAAGGAGCTCAAGTAGCCCTTCCCTGAGCCTACATCTATCACCTGCATGTCAAGTTAAAAAACAAAAACAGTACATGTTAAGAGCTGTTCAGTGGCTTTTACAGATTTTTCTTTCATATACCTTTAGGATATCGCCTGTACCTATAAAAATGTTGCCCTACCTGATTAACCCCACAGTGCTGAGCCAGGCAGGCTACCACCTCAGACATGGACTGGACTTCATGGGATTTCTTAGAAGTCATAAACTCATCTGGCTCAAAAGCAGCCACTATATT